TTTGTTTTAATAACAATAAGTGACACAGCTGTATCCAAACGCAGATTTTTGTTTTAATATTTAGAACTCGATAGTTGTCAAGAATTTAATTATACCAAGCACAAGTTTCATTTCGTAGTTTATTTCATTATCGCACTGGGATGAAAGAGAAATTTAGATAAGTTTTAACAATTTAGATGTTATTTCCCTGTCTTGAACCCCAATAAAGCAATTTAGTGTTAACATGAGGAGATGATTGTGATAATGTCCGATTAATCAGGCCTACCGCTGTATAAATTGATTTGATATGGACCCTGTGTCTACAGAGGTGAATTAAATCTCGCACACCAATCCCTCCCGTTCGACCGTGTCACTGATACAAACTACTGATGTCACAGATAATAAAATCATTTTAATTCCATTTTTTTGTTCTAAACGGTGACCATTACATCTGTGTTTTGTACTGATGTTTTCATTTTACGTTAACCAATTTGATGACAGTGTCGTATTATTTGGCTCATAATGACAATGATGCACGGTCCTAGGTTTGTACACAATCAAATAATTCCTTCCGCATGGCGCCAACTAACCAGGAAGTAGTAAATATAGGACAAATTAAAAACAGGAAGTTGAAATAATTATAAATATACTGGAACTGTTGGGAAGATATGGTTTTTAAAGATAAATCTAAAAAGAGTTTAAATACGTTAAAATTTGGTGTTTTTTAAGCAAATAATGGGAGATGCACGTGTGTTGAAAATATTAAGAGCGTATTCGATTTGAAAAGAAAATTTCGTGTTGTGAGTATGTCGGATCATTTATCAAAAACGTAGGTAAACCTATGCTATCTGCCATGAATCTCTCAATTTAGCACGTCTGGTAGATACTTTCGTGAAATTTTATTATCTGTTGTACGATAAAAATAAACATTTTATATCAATAAACGCTAAGCAGTCGCCATATAGCCTATACCGAGTTTGTTTCGTTGCTGTAGACTCCACAAAGTTAATGGAAAACGAAAGTAGTTATCATCATTACAAGTAACAAATTATTCTGTTAAAAGGCCTTACAAATCAGTGATGCATTACAATGCAGACATATACATAAACAAATTATATGTTGTCTGACAGTATAATAAACAGGATAACAAGACCTCTTGTTGCAAGTAAAAATACACACGTAACTGGTCAATTACACCACTAAGCATTTTCAGCTGTTTATATTAGGAATGTTTTCATAGCAGCATTCTTGTTTAGTACTTTTTAAAGGTGTTGAAATGGAAAGCAATTATATTTAGCATACTGTAATAGTTGTTCTATAGAACACAATATAGCCAGAGACTCGTAGGTTTTTAAACCCGTTGTTAAAAAATAATTAGAAAAATGGGTAAAACCTTTCCCGTTAATTCTGAAACATATTAAACATGTCGGAGGGTGTTTTACATTAATAGCGGTGGATAACGCACAAGTCAATTTGTACGTGTATATAATAACCATAGCTTATTGTATTACTTGATAAAGAACTAGCAAAGGGGCAGAGAGGATCATAAGATTTAATTTTCTCATTAATTGGTGGTTTAATTAAGACCGTGAGGATTTATAAAGTCGTATATACCTTGTTGTACAGCTCGCGCGGTGCACTTGTACCACAATAATATCAGCGCGTGCTAAAATTTGACATTGGCTAACATATGTTCAATTAAGCTGAAATTGTGCACACAGTCATTGCCTTTCCCCAGCACTACCACGTCACAATTAAGATTGATATTGGGCCTATAAAGCCGACAAAATTACCGCGTATGCAATTATTGACTATTAACCTAATAGAACTGCTTCTTCCCCTCTTCTGTGTTTTTCACCAAACAAATTGGAGGGGCGAGTTGGCAGATGTTTGCGACGGTCCTCTATAGGATGAAAACGAGCAGACCTGATTATGTGAGATTTATTAATTAATAAGAGTGATATTTCACGTCTACTTGTGATTCTTCGTTCTGTGTGTGTGACGTAACGTAATTAATTAACACTACGAAAATAACTCAGTTATGCCACGTACCAATATTAATTAACAAAGAGAAATTAACTCTATAACATAACACGGAAAGAGGAGATAACTGTGTCATAATGCAATTAACTAATGGGGACGAATTTGTTACTTCGTCGAATCATCAACAACCATTCCCGATTATTTCTTAAATAACAACAAAATAAGTAATAAGATACATGATCTTTAACTATTTCTGTCTGCGTTTCATCCTTCAAGAATGATTTTAAATAGAGGCATTCCATAAACATTTAGAATCGTTACAGAAATTGTTTTCAGTGCATGTCACTAATAAAAGGAGATATGTGAATTTATTTCTAAACGAATTGTTAATGTGAAAATATGAATCAATACTGTATCTATATCAAACGTGAAATACTAAAGGTGACACGGGAATGCTCTTTTTCACAATCGTGAATGTAAAAATATGAGAGAGAAAAATTCATAACTATAGATGTAATAATTTTAAGATGATATATAAATCAATTTCTGTAAAATATTCTAGTTAAGAATAAAGGAAATAGTTCTATACATAATTTACAAGATGATAAATAAGTAAATCAGTGCCGGTAGAAAGTTCAAGACAATTTCTTCCTCGTGTTGAAAAAGAGTGCGCGGAAAAAAATCTGAACGAAATCGGATGATACCCAGGGCATTTACTTGGAGATAGTACAAATTCATATAAAGCTTCTCCACGTGATAGCAAGAACTCCTCCTTGTCAATACCCGTGATTAGTTCTTACCGGGATCGCCGACCGCGCGTAATCTACTCCGACTTGGCATTGGCAAGCAGAGGGGATGAGGGCGAAAACTTTTAATTAAGACACAATTAATGGTGGATATGTATTATTGATATCGCCAGCCCATGCCAATCCACAGAATTAACTCCGGTGTCTGGTCTGCAGTGACGATTTGGATTGTAATGTAAAATTAATTCCGATGGACATTAATAAAATAACCAGCTCTAGCCACTAACGACGTACGAGGCTCGATCAGTGGGTATACATAACGCGGCTAATCACATCGACTTGTAATAGAAAACCCAGTGAACATATTTCTTTTGATTAATTTAAGGGGGCTGGCGGATTGAAAATACAAGCGCCAAAAGAACACGGATATCCCTTAAATATACATAAAGCTATGTGATCATTTAATTAACGTTATCTCAAAGAAAGGTGGTAATTTATTCCACCACCAATGCTTTGAACAAACACATGTGCCCAGGTGCAAAGTCTCAAGCTATTGCTAATAGTTGTCATATTCAAGAATCTCTCGGATACAATAAAAGTACAGTACTTAAAAGCCGATTTTTTTGTCTGAAAGATCATATAAATTATAAACTAATAACAACTTCATAAAACTTGACTGATATCTAATCAATACCATGGCAAAATATTCTTCACATTTTAAAGTAAACGCAATTCAAATTAAATAACGCTAATCAGCCATTGACTTTATCAACGAATCGCTTACAATACTACACAGTACTCCTTACCTGGATAAGTACTCTGTACAATCTTGTCATAAATGATTTCATACCAATATAAAACGTATCCTGATAATTAATTATTTAACTAATTGTATTCGTCAAACGATTATACAAAATTGTATTTCATAGCTATACTAATTAAATAGTTCCCCAACATACAGTTATCAGCCAAACCATCTTTATCACAGGCCGTTGTCGGAGAGGCTAATTGATGAATTATTGTACATTGTGTAAAGTTAAGCGCCGCAAATACCCGGATCACTGTGATTGGGTCATGATTTCGTAGCTTTTACTTTTGCAAAATTAATCAAGACAGTATCCAGCGACACGGAACGAAGCAAACAAAGTGCACGCGGAGGTTTATTAATGAAAAACTAGAGTAAGAATGCGGCACTGAAAATGTGGAAGAAAGTTGTAATGAGTCATCGTCAACCACTCTTGAAATGTAGATTGAAATACGGGTAGGGTAGATAACATTGAACGTTTGGATGATCAAGAAATTAATCAGTTTTCCGATTAATGGACATTCGGTTATAATCATCCGCATAATAAACAAAGATAACGCCACGCCATAGGCTATGTGTCGCATGGCGATTTCCTCTCTTCATTTCGGAATGTAGTTTATCAATGTAATATGCTCAGTTGAAATAATGTAATAAAATATATATATATCACAAAAGAAATATATATATACCACAAGAGAACTATATATATCACAGGAGAACTTTATGTATATATGCATGTCATGCATCACAAGAGTTTGTAAAGACAGTACACATGAATAATATATTACTTTTGGTTTTAGCTTAAAGACAAAATCTTTCCCACGAAAATCGGTGTCATTTTAGATAATGTTAATTTTACGCTTGATGCCTTCCTGGTACATTTATGTGTAATTCACTGTTCCAACTGACTGGACTCTGATATCTGATTGGTACAACACTCCTTCTCCAGCCGACATATGTCCTGTGTAGACTAAACCTAGGTGTGATGTTTATCATACCCGTCTGTCATCTTACCAGGCTATATGACTTCAGTTTACGTCATTATCAAGTAAAAAAGAGAACTTTCAATTAAAGATTAAAATTTACATCCTTAAATGACTTCCTGTGCCTTTGATATCTGTTTATATAAACTACGCTGTGCTGTAGCTGAGCTTTCCAATGAGATTTGAAAAATTGATGAAACACTATTTTTTTATTTGAAACATCTATTAAAACCTATGAAAGCATTGTGCATGATATAACGCCACTAAAAATATTGCAGTGCCATTTTCTAATATAACTGATTGCCTTGGATAAAACGAAAAGCTAATAGTGCAGATTTATGTGATTTGGATTTTTTTGGTGTAGTGCTGCTATCTGGAACAGCATAGGAGACAACCCGGTGAAAAATAAAGGAAAAAAGAAGGGGCAGAAAGGCTCAGATTAGATTCATACCATACCTGTTACAGTTTATCTCAAACTTAAAATTGTGTTTTGTAACTACGTACCGAATATAATCGTTCTTGCACAGGATCATCCCCGACCGAGAAAAACACGAGCCCAGGTGTTCTAGCTTTGTCTGGCAACACGAGCATTTTAAACAGCCCGTGTGCCAGTATCTGTCCATCGCGTGAAGCAGGAAACGGTCAAGTATCCGCCCGCCACATCCTGCGCATGCCTTCACATTATTACCAAACATGGCACCATTTCCGGTTTGGTCATTTCCGGTTTGCTGCATCGTAACTCCATTCACGACGGCCGAGCATTCCTCCGAACCTGGAACAAAAAACACAATACATTTTGTTATGGCAAGATGTAGGAAGAGATTAACTTAATTGTCGGTGGTGAGAAATTAAGGGGAATCATTACGATCACATGGATAATTTCCAGATGTAACCAGTGCTTCTAGACAATTTCATGTACATACAACTGAGATTTAGGTATGGAAGTTTAATCCAATTTGTTCAAGGATCTAACAAGCTGATATGAATCCCAATATTACTATTAAATGTGACACCGGGTAATTAAAAGCAATGCAGTTATAAAAATAAATCTTCTCATATCTTTATACTGGTATATGTAGCACCTATATTCCTCTAGATACAATTGATGATTATTCACAAATCGGAAATATCTTGCGTTTGACCAAGACATCAAAGGGACAGAAATGTGTGGAGACGTTTTTGGATAATTGGAGTTCCATTTGAAAACGTGTTAATTCCTAATGCACAATGATGAAGCCATCCGCGAGTTTCTGTCACAGCAATTACTTTACGTGTAGGTTGTCTATTGATCCGAGGTGGCATATGACGGACCGTGGGACCCAACACTTTAATATCTCTCAACGGCCATACAAAACACTCAATTACGTAGTACAGACGGACGCAAAACCTTCCCCATTATCAACGCATTTAATTTGTACGTAAAATGGCCGCCATTGTATAATTAGAGTATGACGTCAGGTCATATTGGAACATGACGTACCTTAGGAAAATATCTGCCTGTACGTCACGTGACATTGAGTACGGCCAGCGTCCTTCTAAAACTAAAGCGCCTCACGTTGTAGAAATGATTAAATGACGCTAGAGATCAGTTTCGGCGAGTGACTGATTTTATATCATAAATAAAGTGTTCGTGCAATCTACAAATGTTCCCTAAAGATCACCTGGTGTGTACAATCGCAATTCAATTTTCCAAAAACTGCTCTCGCCACTAAAAGCAATCAAATTAATAAACACAATGTAAATAGATACATTCCTATTGTACCCGAAAAGAACCGTAACAACCGTTGTCACAGGAAACGTCCCGTCAGGGGCCGTCTCAAGGGTTAATTTAGTACAGAGGACAGTTTGTTTAGTCAAGTGAAAACAATCCAGACTTGACATACGACCCCCGAGAGCGCCATCCATCAACCGTTGTCCAACAGCTGGAACCAGTTACACGGTACAGCACCCCGGCCAGTCGTCCGCCGCGCTCCGTGTCCTCAGTCCCCGTGGGGTCAGTCTCGTTAGATACCCCCTTTTTCCTTTTCTCAAAACCTACACCCCCTGCTCTTCTCAGCCTCCCCATCTTACAAATCCCCGGTAACAAGGTTTAAAATCTCGTTAGTTGGTATGTAGTATCTGGTGTGTGCCATACTTCCCTGGACATTTCCGTTGGGAGGACGATTAGAATCTAGCACTAACGGTAGGCTGACAAGGTCTGCCATACGGTTTACCTCCTGATTTACGGCCACAACCCATGACATGTCTGAAACGTTTACTGACCTCTGACCTACATCATTTGACCCAAGTTCACCTTGAAATAAATGATGTCCCTTCCTTACCAAGTCGTGGTTCTACTCATGATGCCATAATCTCCGTGTTGTCAGTTTCTGGACGATGTTCAGAACTTTTTATTGTCCAAACATATTCTCAGTTAGTGATATCAATATGTGTGTCCCATCAAGTCTCTGAATTCCGTCCGTTTATCACACCTATTTATACGACTTTCTATTTCTACAATTGTTATTTTCTGTTCTATCGGCATGCCAAACACCCAAGTACATGGGCCTGTATATATATATATATATGTATATATAGAGGTATATATATATGTATAGCTACTTACATAAGTAACACATTAAGCATTTGGTGCGGTACTAACTTTCTCAAATGACGGTAACAGATATTCAAATGAACGAAGTATCTGATCTAGGACCAACTGCAGTGGGTATATATTATGTGTGCGACCGTGATCTACATATAGCTGGGGTATATACTAGATTAGTTTATCTAACTAGAAATTAGCAGTTAAACAACGATATCGTATGTATCTCAGGTCAATGAAAATACTAAAGTGAACTTAATTCGTAAATGCGTAATAGTTCGCACTAGACGAGTTTCTAATGTGGTAAGCTATGTCGATTTGTACTCCGGTGGGACGAGTACGTACTTTGGTAATAGTTCTCTTTTAGGAGGAAATTTGGTACAATGAGACTGCAAAAAGACTATTTGTGACTAGACTTAAAAAGAAAATCATGCACCAGGTGAGTCTGCATTTTGGTGAAAACAGGACGAGATTGTGTACTGGTAAAACCCCACAAGGTGTGGGGGTATTGTAAACTGATGGGACGAGCTGGTAGTTTGGTAAGCTGGTTAGTAATTAAATCGTACCTCGTACAGGTCAATACAATATCGAGCCAGAATGCCATACACCTGGGCTACTTGACGTAATTCTACCCAACTAACACTACAACAACATGCACAGCTAAGTTAATTAGAAAGAACTCCGAGAATACCCTAATCATAGAGTTAATGAATAAACTGAAATAAGTTCGGCCCATATCCCAAGTTTTTTTCGTTTTGAACAGATCTATGCAATGTTATTTACTAAGGTTATATACTTTATGTATATGTGCAAACATTTATACATTTTATATTTATATACATGGGAGTGTGATGTGGATAGTTAACGATGTTTAGTAAAACACATTCAGCGCGCGAGGTGGTTAGGACAGACCAGCGTATACATATGTACACCGTCGTGTATACATTTTGTCGTATCGAAACCTTCAACCAGGAAATATCGCACCTTTAGTATATGACAAACTTAAAATTTATTAATAAACTTCCGTCTATTTCAGCCTAGACTGAGAGTAACGTGTGTGCTCGGTGAAGTGCAGACCATTTAGTAGGGCACGTTTGATTTCAACCGGTACAGGTTACAAATCCACAAGAAATCGATCACCGTGTATTGCTTTTGCTTTTTTTATACATTTATCTTTTTTATACAAAACGGCGAAAACGAAAAACATGAGCATTACATAAAATCTGTCTTGAATGTAGGCAATAGAACGGTGTTATTGACTCAGACCGACATGTTTAATTGATCAGCTTGTACCGAGAGCAACAGATGGTAAGAAGCCCAGGGTCTCGTGTGTCAGATTGGAAAGATTGCCTCGAGATTACTGGAGAGACTTTGGTCAGCTTACACCGTTTCTGGTATAACATTTAGATAATTTATATCGCTTTATGAAACTTTAATGTGATTATTACAGCCTGCACGTTAGTTAAAATGTATGGACGCCTACTGGACGGTTCATTAAATGCAACACTGCAGGGGATCCAACGGAATTCTGGTCAATGACGGCAGTCCCCCTCCAACCAGCCATGGTCCCCACCCGGTCACAATGTCCGTTTTTATCCAGATCAACGGTGTCAATACAAAGGTATCAAAAACAAACCTTACTATTGTTTACATGTATGTATGTGCCATGTTACAACACTTGGTCGCTGCGCTTGTATTTTAAGCACTTTACGGAGAGGCAAGTGTCCCTACTAATTACTACAACTCGCACAATGCGTAATGTACAGGTAGATAGAGCGACCCCGCGAGAGTTACACGTCGAAATGCGTACACGAGGGTTGAAGACCCGTCAGGGTACAGACGACGACAAACAAATGGTTATGCACAAATATGCGAGGGTAAATACACGTGTTCACGAACATAAGTGTATAAACAATGGCAAAGCAGCACATGTACCCACGCGTAGTTGACGATACACACAGCATACGTACATGTGAGTATAGTACACACACACAGTTGTTGGCGAAAATACGTGACCCTAAATCATTAGTGTGGAGAGAGCGCCGAAAGATAAACACACCCGAGACAGAGGATTAGTATTGGTCATTAGCGAACCGTTCTATAACGATGACATCATACCCCCTACGTACCCGACTCATCAATTCCCGCCTCTGATGGGATTCCCTCCGAACACCTAACTACAGTTCCCGGCGGATCATCGACCCTACCATGGCTTTAGACCATGACTCCCCTACCATAGTTCTAATACCCCTGGGCTAGCCTACTCCTTTCTCTGGTCCACGATCTGGCCATCCCACATCTCCTGACTCACACACACGAACCCTTTAATGTAGATGTGTGGACCACATAGAACCCGCACCCACATCGTTCCCTCGAACTCTCATATCGAGCCACGACCCCCAACTCCCAGCTGACCCGCGATACCTTATAATCTGCTGGTTGATTCGTGATCCTCCCCACCAAAGCCCCATACCATCTCTCAAACCTTCTCGGCACAATAATACGAACCCTCCAAATCCCTACAACAGCTCTGCTCACTTACCGTTCGTCATTTTGGTCACGATGTGTGGAGATTTAGCATTAGACATCTAAACCTTGTGCTAGATCCTTATGGGAAATGTCCACAGTGGAAGTCTGAGTTTATTTGTCAATTGCTCAGACGAGAAATCCTCGTTACGCGTACAACTCGGAGACCGAGCACGGTCCACGAGGCCAATATATAACTGTTGTGATCAGTTGTCTCTCACGTGGCTGACTGGGGATTGTATACACACGAAATAAACATAGCACAAATCACCTCGACATTGCAATGTACATGGCGCGATCGTTCACTGTCGTCTGCGAATATGTCCGGGAAACAACACTTTGTTACGAACGACGGAGAAGAAATTGTGATAATGTACACAACACTGTCTTCGACTTTAACACCGCTCAGCTAAATAAATTAGACCGTCAAAATCTGGCATCTACGGTGAATGAGACACATCTGCCATTTGAATGGATCATCTACTATTACCTCTCGACCAATCAGAACGCCGCTTGCAAAATGAAGTGACTCGGGCAGAAAACGTTAGCTCCGCCCACTTGCCATAAATTTGAGCACAGCTTTTCAGTGGGAGATTGTAGATTTAATGCGTTAATGAAAACCGACCAACGATTGGAAATGAACCATGCGAAATTTAATATCGTTAGATCAAGATAATAATATTAAATGCTTTTAACCAATAATTGTATGCTCGGCGTTATTGTATGGACTTTAATCAAACACGGACATTTCAAAATGGTGGTAATGTACATGAAAAGATACCGGTTTAAACATGTTAATGAGACATTGAATGAATATTTTAGAGAATAATTTACATAAATCTAATTACCTGCATTTTGGCAGAAAAACATTTTGTCGTGATAAAATAAATTGACATCGGCGATGAGGTTTTTAGACATGGGTAATTCAACGACGAAATATTATGTGTGATTTTTATACAAATTGGAACTTATTCACGATACCCTATGCATATTTTACATTTATATTGTTACTTTAAAAAATACTAAATTGTAATTATTATGTTAATATCATTTCATTGATTTTTGAATAGAGATTCTACTATAATAAGCGGATCAGATATCAGAGTATGTAAATGGAAAAGTGAAAGTTATTCAGCCGCTGTTGACTAATGTAGACACGTCACCATAGTAAAACGGCACATTACGCTCACCACCATATGTCGGTAATTAGTAAATGTTTAAATATCCAAGGTCGAGCTTTTATATTTGATTGTCATTTGTATATAATAACTCTATCTTATCTTGACATCTCGCATCGGGCACATTGGTAATGTACCTGTCCAGGGTAAGATAATCTATTAATGTTCACATGAGAGTTCCAAATGAGACACGTGTATCTTGCATACGTAGAGGCGGGAGAGAACGAAATTAACACCAAATGATTTCAGTCGTGAGTTTATAGACGAGAACAGACAATCCCGGTGGACATGCTCAATGACAGAATCTGCACTATAGCATTTCAATATCTAGAGGTATCACACACTGTACGAGTTCAGGTCAGGAAAACACGCATTCTGTTGAAGGGAAATTAGATTTTTAAATCTCATTTGGGATTTTCAATATTTAATCATGTTGTAATGGTCCAAAACTGAATTATATAACTTAAGTGTTTGGTAAATGGGTTGGTAAATTATTAACATGTATATCTGGGACAACATACAGTACATGTATCATACAGACAGTATGTACTCAGGCCGTCGGGATAACTATAAGTTCTACTATAAACTATTAAGATTTTAACTTCTAATTTGTCAGTAATTGAAGTTTTAAATGTTAATGACTTCGTGTGACACTATCCTGATGCGGTATAACCACGGAGTTAGATTAGGTTGTCTAAGTCCGTGGTATGACCCTACGTTTTATGTGACGATCAGTGGTACATTATAGATGATATTACTAGTTTTTACCTTAGTACCAGGAGGAGCAGCCCGGACTGATATTAACTCCACAGATAACGGAAGTAACCCCTCACCTCGTGCATACAAAATGACCGTAAAAATGTCAACTTAGCAAAAAATGGCAAAACTAAAATAAAGGACAAGAAGTACCCTTATTAACAGCATACCATACCGCACACATACAAATATGCAATCTCGGCAAACAACATTTGAAACACTAATCCGTTCATACTGTATTTTTTTGAGTCCAGATGAAATATAAAAATGGCTATTTGCTGTATGAAATGCTGTGTAGCAATTAAATATATCTAAATCTATCAATCCACTACTGCTCTACGTATGACGCAGTTTATCGCACGAATGTAGGAACCAGCTCCTACCAGACAGGTACCGAACCAGTCGACACAGAAAATGAGCTAGTCGGCGAAGAACGTCAATGAGTAAAGGAAATCAATTACATGTATCGGATTAATTAATAAGCTGTTTGTCTTCAGCGTATTATTCCACGTGAATCCAGTCTTTGTTAAAAACATGCTACATTCCCTATCATACTAAAATTTCATATATTGTCCAAAATTTATTATTCAAACGAAGTCTAAATAATTTATTTGAAACCAATTTTGTCTAGGTTATAATGAGAGTTTTCATTTCTTAGGTCTCCATGGAGCTCTTATCGTTACCATAATTGCCAATTACCCCCAAAGCTCGGAGCTGGATGGCACAGAATGATTCGCGAAAAATAATTAGTTATCGCGATGGGAAAATGAGATTGTTTGCTTACAATGGCCGATGATTGGTTCGGTATATAAATTTTCAGCTCATTACGGCTCTGCCTACGCTTGATGCTAATTGTACGAGAAAAGTCGAATTAATGAGAAGCTTATGTCGTCGTCCTAGTCTTAGGAATGTTTGGAGCGGTACGTGTGCATAAAGAATGGGACAGGATGTTATGAAAACATCTGGGTGTCTGAGATGCTTGGCATGGACCAAGTGATAATTGTTTATTGTTGGGCAATGGTGTTGACATGGCCTCGAACGAATACTTATGGGTCCAGAAACATTGTATGAAGTTTAGTTGCAACAAAAATTATCTTTTAAAAAATTATTGGTGATGTTAACAATATGGGAGTGAAAAATGAATGGAAAAGAAACATGATACATTAATGTGTGCATTATACAATCAATAGGTTTTGCATGCCAAAATCTGCGGGAAACAAGGTAAATGTAACCTATAAAAAACAATCTGTGTATACACAGTATATACATGTATATTATAATCAAGGACATTAGTTTATCGTTTTCGTTTTTGACTTCATAAAAAACGGCAAATTAAAACAATATATACATTTGAATTTCATCCTTACTTTATAAAATTTTGTTTGTTATGGTTTCTGTACATGTTTGATTCATTCCTGCGAATCGGAGGTTCTGCTTGCTTTGAACGCAGTTTAGTTGTTACTATAGAATATAACCAAACACGCAATACTTGTACCATAAACATGTTATTACGAGTGGAGTATATAATCACTTTTTAAACCTAAATATAAGATTGAAATTCATTTTTGAAACGTTTATGCTAGTTTTTCTCACAGTTCCGTTCAAACATATTCTCTTAAATGCGCTATTACCAAGATTTTTTTGTGACAGTTGAGGAAAGACATTCTTTTTCCAATCTGGAGTTCTCTTCGGGTATACTATGGTAATACGCGCATGTGGTCCAGATCAATCAGAGACAAACAAATGTTACGGTATGACAATCTAAAATGAAATGATTTGCAGATCTTATCAACCGCCGTATAGTTAGAAGGAATGGACGTATCATATTGTGAATTGGGGTTAGCATGTTGGAGGATTTCTAGCAGGAAAATAAAATCTCTGGCAAAAAGGTAATTCTGTAGTAGTGACTCGATCTTTAAAAATATGTTAAAATATATATGGAGCTAGTTTCTGAGAGTACATGTTTATTAGAATTGCTATTTCTCTCATACCAGGCGCGTAGCTGCCACGTAAGCAAATAAGCAGTTGCATGCACATCAAAAATTCAAATATGGTATTATATTTTTATTTATTTATTTATTTATTTTGTAGTTCGGAAAAGTGATTAAATAATGTGTGGTTCAATTGAAAAATATATTAAATTTAACTGTATAACTGACAGCCGGCAATCAGTACGTATCCGGAAGGTCCAACCTATAGGGTACCTGGTGCCGATTTTATTATTAGTATTTTAAAAGTTGTCAACATCGGAAACTTGACTGCAAAGCCAACGAAAAACCCGCATCATCTTCGAAGAACAAGTTGATACATGACATCTTCCAAGCAGATGTGGGTTCACATGAAACAACATCCTCTTGCGACATTAACTTAGGCATTGACGAGTCTAAAACAGCTATTAGTATTAGGGCCTTGTTAATGCCGGACCGACCGAAAACAGTTCTGATCAGTCTGACTGTTGTTACCCCTGATATCGGGAATACAAGCGAGGCCGATATTCGTCTTACTAAAGTGAAGGTGGATATCGATATCCTGTCAAAACGATGGGAAAAAGCTCACGAGTTCAAATTCCATACACGGCAACATTTTAACAAGCGATTGTAATGAAATACAACTAAGTCAACGGAGGCGGGTTGTTTTTCCGGAATGGATGTATTGTTGTGTATTTTTTTTTCACCAATTAAAGGTCTTCCGGATAACAATTGTAGATTGATTTGTTACTAGCAATATTGTTATAGGTTTTAGGGCGGATATATGCGCGTATAGCATCTATCTGAGTTTTACATTCACTTCGCCTGCAAATGTAATATGGAAAAGGAAAATCCTCAAAAGTCAGAAAAAAGCAACGTACATGTAGCTTTTGCTAATCTGTGACATTATATAGTATGGCAAGCCAAGTTGTCATTTATTCATGGAGAAATGTTGATCCAGTACTTAACCAAATTATATAAGATATCTTATTTAATTATATAAGGTATCTTTTATATTATATGAGATATCTTATAAAGTATATAAGATATCTCATAAACTTAAAATAAGATATCTTATATGTTTATAAAGATATCTTATATAATTTATAAGATATTTTATATAATATATGAGATATCTGATATAATTTGGTTAAGTACTGGATCAACATTGCTCCATGAATAAATGACAACTTGGCTTGCCATAATATAGGCCTTCATTTGTCCCTGTCATGAACTGATAAAGTATGTTTTTAAGAGTAGTCCTAGGCCTATCGTCAGAAGGGCTACTGGATATATATGTATACATATATCTAAACATCGATATAGGAGCTGCCGTCATCTTATGTTCTGAGAAATGTTGATGATATAAAAAGGGTTTGGGGGACACAACAGCAATAAATCTGAAATTAATATGTTCATATTGGCCGCTCCGACATGCCCCCGTACCCCCCTAGAACGGCTTCGCGCCTTCGGCGCTCGCATTCGCACCTCCAAAACGCCCAGCTACGCGCCTGCATACCCGTACAATAGTTGTATGCATAAATCATTAAACATATTTATTGTATACTAA